AACTGCTGTACAAGCATGATAATGACCTATGAAAGGTGAGACAAGGATTTCCTCCCCCAGGATGACCGATGGCCCAACGAGAACGGCTATGGAAGCTGCAAACGAGCAGCAGATGCAATAGGCCACTCTCGTTTCCCTGCGTCCTCCCATCAAGTAATACTCCAGCTTTGTCGTCCACCCATATCTCCGTTCTCGCTTAAACTTTTGCAGAGGTTGACGTCTCTACGCAAAGACAGCTTCCCGGGTGTTGATACTATTCACCCAGAGGCACTGGGAGCAACAGCAAGCCAACTAGCAGCACTTTTGGCTCAGTTTTTCTAGCGCAGCTTATACCACAACCAGGTTCCTGTTGTGTGGAGGCTTGGAATCATAACTCCGATTCACAAACGCGAAAGCAGTACTGAGCCCTCAAACTAGCGCCCAGTATTCCTTCTCCCTATATTCTCCAAAGTCCCGGAATCAGTCGTTGCCGATACACTGGTGTGTGATGTGGAAAACCGCAACATCATCACATCATAGCAGCACAGTTTCCGTCGACAGCGAACGTGCACAACAAATTTACCACGCGTACGCCGTAGTTGGACCGAGTCAGCTGACGCTGGAAAAGAGGTTACTGTGATCTATCTGGATTTTGCAAAGGCATCGCTCATTTAGACAAGGGGGTACTACTTTCCAAGCTCCAATAATGTAGGATCGGTGACCCTACTCTAAGCTGGATCGCCGACTTTCGCCTACAACGGCAATTAGTGGTCAGAGTTCGGTATTCATCGGACCCATACAAGTCGAGTGTGGTGTGTCGCGAGGCTCGGTTCTAGCTTCACGATTGCTTTTCTTATTTAATAATGACCTCACACAAGCAATCCCTTCAAACGTCCTACTGTTCGCCGACGATAACAAGATTTGGAGCAGAATTCAGGCGAATGTCAAGCAGCTTCTGCTTCAGAGTGGCTTAGACACGGTACATCAGTAGTCAAACCAACATTTAGTACAATTCAACGTGGGTAAATGCAAGGTACTTTCCACTCGTCATCAGAGCAACTATTCATACCGGCTCAAAACGATTGTACTGCAACAATCTACTGGCGAACGCGATTTGGGTGTGCTGGTTCAAGATGACTTGGGTTGCTCCAGGCAATCCGAAAAGGCCTCGATGACTGGAAACTAACACGTCGAGCTGTTGCGACAGGCGTGCGGACAAATCAACAGCTCTATTTTTCGACAAATGCACAGTGCGTATGTTCGACTCCATGTCGAATACGCAATACAAGCCTGACATCCATGGCTGAACACGACCTTAATGCACTGGATCAGCCTCAACCTCGGGTAGCCAAGCACGTAACTGGAATGCGCAATCTTTCGTACGAGTAAAGGGTGTAACGATTAAGGGTATTCAGCGGACGGTATCACAGATTACCAGGAGACCTGAATAGTGAGAATAGTGAGCGAAAAGATAAAATCCTGTGTTGCTTCAACGTAGGTGGATCGGGTACATGCGCGGAATAACGTCGCTGATTCCTGACCGCTGACAGCATATTGCAGCTGCGCTACATCTTATCCGGGTGCGATGCGCTCCCAATACCCGTAGTCCGCAAAGTGGGCGTCGAGGTATTCCATAAATTTCGACACCGATTTCGCCTCGACTATTGTATCCGCTAACTTGTTCCAATATTTAACCACTGGATGCTCGAAGCATAGAGGGTGAGCGATGCGCATTAAGTCCGGTACCACTAGTTTGTACCAGTGTCCGCGTGCGCGAACGTGCAGCAGCGGCCTCAACATAGGTAAGCGGCCCAGGCGCAATATGCGGTGCGTCATTATAAGATCAACTCGAAGCCGAAGATATGAAAGGATATACAGCCCTAGTCTCCTACATCGGCCCTCGTATGACATACCCCGTAAACTGGGGATGAGCCGCGTAGCTACATGCTGAACACATTCTAGTCTCTGCACTTCACCTATTTTGATCGGAAAATAGAGGGGTGAACCATGCTCAAGTACCGGTCTTATTATTATGGCATACTTGATTCTGCACGACCCACATCATGTGTGCCGCTCTTTACTGCAACTCAGCAACAATACGCACCTGAGAAGTCACTCATTGAACCCCGCTGAACAGTACAGCCGTCTGCAGTGCCGCAAGAATTACTTTTCCATTCGTGTATGTCACCCGTGAAATGCTCTCCCTGAATCGGTCGTCTCCGCACCGAGAGTAACAATAGTTAAAAGACGGTTGGATGATGCACTCATCCACTCATTTTAACTTGGCACTACGTCTCCATCCTACTCCTGGAATGTACTTTGGAGTTATTTGCTGTTAACTTCGGGTGCTGTGAAACTATGCGAATTGCAGAACTACAGCGGAGCAAACGATAAGTCCTCCTTTGCATCATTAAATTACTAACTGTTTTATTGTCATATTTATGATCGCCCCAGCAAAATATCCAACGGGGCTTGTAAAGCAGTGTTTTCTAACCAGCACAAATTCAATGTTCAGTGTTCGAAATGAAGCCTCAATGAGTGCAACTGAAAACACGAGCACATCGGTGGGTTGGACAAACTAACCCTATCCTTGACTAGTTCCTCCTCCTTCACTACCACAACTCCCCGTATTCAGTTAGATTGAGGATTCGCTGTGTGCCTAGGAAACAAATACTTAGTGGCATGTTGGACAGCTGATGCAAGTCACTAAGCTATCTAAGCTAGGTATCTGGTGTATTCCCACTATTTGCTTCTATCTCCTTGCTGTACGTGAAGCAGGTTGTTTCCTTTCACTAACACAAAGCGTGTGTATTATACCCGCATGTATTGCGTACGTTGTGTCTCATGTTTGTCTTCCTTCATAACGTGGATTTGGTTTCAAAACTAAATGTTCATCATTTCGTTCTCTCTCACGCTATCTCACAGATGTTATGCACCAATGCTGCACTCTTTTCTTGCACACTTTCAACTATTTGTTGCTTTCTTATGCTAGTCAGTGTTATTTTTCTCCCTGTAAGAAGCTCCTAGCTCTAATCAGATCCGAAGTCATGTTGAAATACTGGCCGTGAACTCCTGTTACCCAGTTTGACGAAATTAACCACGAAAGTATCGTGAAAGTACGACCTAGATATGGTCTTGTGAAGTATTGGTGATTAGTCATTTGTGATGGTAGATGAAAGTTGGAATGTCTGTAAGACATTTCAATGTGCCGGTGGTTAATGACACGTGCAAGAAACTATCACTGCATGGGTCTGGATAACCCTTAACTGATTGGTCTAAATTTGCACCAAAAGTGTGCAGTCCCTGGGGAATCCGAAGGGGCGAGATTACTTCTATGGCGACATATGTCAAACAATAACTGGCCAATGAAAGTTGGCTTGCACGGCAGTGAAGAGCGAAACGACGAACCAAAGGCAATCCTCTTTACTGACATAACATTCCAGCTGACTGTACGCCAAAAATAACGTGACGTGTAGTTGTGAATAATTTTCGGATCAAATTCGAGCGCTCGTTCTAGCTTTTTAGATCAAATTAACACTGGTTTCACGAAAATCAGCTCAGGGAGATAATCAATAAGTATCCACCTAATGCTGTGCACCTAACCACACAAGAAAGCATCGATGGAAGCAGCACTTGATCGAACGCTGTATTTCAGATATGCAGTCTATAAAATGTCAAGTTCGAACAATATTCCTTGTTATGAACATCGGCTGAAGCAGAATATGCCACATCACTCACGGTGACCACGCGAATTGATTACCGAGAGGAAAGTTTCTTTCTTCGGGTATCTCGGATATAGTACACTCTTCCAAGTTATAAAATTCCTACCCCAAATCAACACCTTTTCAAAGGCTATTTGACCAGACGCTATCCCAGTTGCCTTATGTAATGTAGAACCTCACAGTTGGGCGATAAAATAACGCAAACCAGTGTGCCCCTACATAAGGTAGCGTGGGGAAAACTATACCTGTGTTCACACGAATTGCTTGATGAGTCAACTAGAGCCAGAATCCCCCTCTTTTCGCGTCATTTTACCTTTGCTTTGTAATGTACACTCTGGTCATGCTACGGGAATTGTCAATCACCCGCATTTTCACCCGATAATTTTCTAGGTCACACCATGCCTACGAAGCAAAAGTTAGGTGGCCTTGATGGTTTGAAACAAGGGATAACTTTGCTGCAGATAATTCTTTAACCTAGAATGCCATTTCATCGTTCCACTGTGAAGGAACAGCGCTTTAACATGCGGTCCTACAGGCCAAGCCACCGTTACGATAAGTGCAGTATTAATGGTCGAGTTCAACGACACTTGCTTTAGGCTTATGTTGCGACACCCAATCCTAATTGGGACGGCAAGATTGTTCGAAGTAAACCTTAGTCAACTTGGTAAATTAGACATCAAATGAAATAGATAGGCATTGGTTGCGGCACCCCCTCAATTGTTACGATCCAACGACCAACAACACAGTGCTGAACGAAACCACACCGGAACGGAAAGCTTACAAAGGACTAGTAACACAGATTACGGATAAATATAAAGTCGACTCGTAGCTAATAGCCCTAACCCTAACAAGGCAGAGGACCAGACCTCTGAACGAGATCCATTATGGTGTCAACTCAGGCGCAAACCAATGGACGCTTAGTAGGTCTTAAAACGGCCTTGTGAGATGGGCCAATCACAGCACTGGTCTAGGGTGGGAAGGGTTGCATGCCCCCTTGATTCCAGTATAGTATCTAGCGTCTTCCCAGCACCAGCTCGGCATCTCACGCACGATTTCGTGATTATCTGGACAATTGAAGTGGGGATGACCTAACCGGAGGCTGCATTAGTGACCCAGTTATCGTATACAAAATTTCCATGACTGACTAACGAGTTACACTAGCGCGGTTAGCCACAGCGGTTAGAAATTCAGTGTTTGATATCGGATGGTGTGTTCTGATAAAATAACTACGTTTAAACGTCAAAGTAGAGGTACAATTTGGCCTCGTAAATGATCAAAGAACGGTCATGGCAAACTCACTTGTCCAGTACAGTTTACCAATGCATGGGGCGACATTTGTGGGTTTCTGATGTCCGGTAACCAGCCGAATATCTATAGAATGAAATAATAAAACATAAGTTTTCCAGAACGCAAAGCACTTTATGCTTGAACATGGACTTAGGAGAAAAATGTATCCTTGTGAGCGGCGTAAGTATGCAACGAGACGTTGATGCAGACAAATTCCAGTGACGGTATCCAAGTAAAATTAAACAATTTAGTCCATTCATACTTCAGTTTGGACAACCGGGTAGTATTATGGTCTGAAGAAACCATTGAGTAAACTGTGCTGTATTTGCTTTTCCTTTTACGTTAACTGTACATTCCATTATTTTCCATATTTTTTGATAGCTTCATGTCTACCCTCTTTGCTAACCTTGTGATGCACAAAACGACCAAAATGACCGAAGAACGATAATCGCCCACTGATTGCACAGTTCTGTTGTATTCGCCCAAGCACGATGTGGCCTGAACATCGTTTAGTCGCCTGTTCTTGTTAACCAATTGAACCAGTAGACCAGACATTCACAACCTTTAAACCTTATGGTCCCCACCCTTGATCTCCACAATTTCAGCAATCCGCAACGCCTAACAGACGCAAATCTGTGATTCCCAGTGGTCATATTGGTATCTATTGTTATGATGGCTGAATTTCTAATGTTGGTATCACTGCTCTTTCCCTTATAAACCCAGTCATAACTTTCACAGCCTATAACACTCACCGTGCGGCAACACCAAGCCAGTTAGATGTAATTACACAAAACTCATCAGTAATATTTAAAATTGTATTTACTTCATGTTGGCTTTTAACTGTAAGGCGTCATGAATATGGAGTGGTATTAACTTCGTAACAATATGTTTGTCAAGATACAGGGTGACGCACGAAATGTCATGCCACTTTTTGTTGCTCATTACACACGTAGTACTTAGGTAATGTTGAAAACTCGTATTCGTATACTTTGGTTTACGAAAAACCCGGTAAATGCCACGAGAAGTTGGTGTGGAATATTTTCTTGGCGCCAAACAATTTTCAAGATGGCGCACAAGAGCAGACCGGGTGTTGAACAGAAGGTGAAAAAGGATCGATATAAGGACATGTTGGAAAACAGATTTATTCCAGAACTCAATAGTTCATGCAAGACGGAGCCCGTCCACACACTACAAATGTTATTCTTTATTACCTGTATGACATGTTTGATGGGCGAGTAATGCCACATCGATTTCTTGATCGTCAATAAGGTGGAAGGTAGTGGCCTCCGCATGGCCCTGACATCAATCCATGTGATTTCATCTGGTGGGGCTACTTGAAAGATAATGTCTTCACAAGGAAGCCTGCAAATGCAGCTCAAATCATGACTCTCATCATGCAGTTGTGCCGTCTAAGTTTGGAAGACTTTTGCAGGAAGGTTGTGACAAATGTAAAGGTTCGCTTGCAAGAGGCTGTGAAATAAAATGGTGATCACATTGAACACATACTACGTTGAATTAAATTTCCATGCTCACACAATTAATTATACACTAATTTTGTAATATTTTAATGATAAAGACCTGTGTAATGAACAAAATAATGTCATGCTATTTCGTGCGCCACCCTGTATTAATGCGAGGCTTGAGCCTGATGCCCTTGAGCAAGCTTGTTTATGTCCGGCTCCAGACTTGATAGCGAGAGTCGAATATCTCCTCCTGCTGTGATATCCAATCTGTTTCTACTTGTTGTTAGAGAAACCAGTCAGCTAAATCCACATCCAACCATGTATGTGAATGGAAAATTAAGGAAATGTATTTCAGCTATTTCCAACAGTCTGAGACATTAGTCTATCCAAAAATCTTTGTTATATAGCGTGAATTACAATTTGCTAGTGTCATTTTTACGCTCTGTGAAACTTTCCTGGACTTCAGCCCCAACTATGCAGGGCTGTACATCGAATGGATCAAAAAATCTATATCGGGATTTCCAAGTCATTTAGGTCATCTAACCTGTCTTTCATTTCTTTTCGGAGTTGTTATAAATGACTGACATAAACAATCAACTGGGAACGGTGAAAATTCTTGGCGTTCGATATTTTAAGCATATACTTCCAGCCTTTTAAGAAAATCGATGGTGGCATCTGCTCGAGATGAGATTACTCAAAGTGCGTCGAAGATTTTTATGCAATAAGTAGAGTTTTTCAAAATCATCAGCCAGATAAAATATTGTTAACGGTTTTCTTTCATAATCAGTTCCAGAAAAGAATGTGATGATGGTGTCCCAGCTTGCAACACAAAGATGGATACGGTTGCCCTTGAAGTGCCATCTAACTTCTGTAGGCAAAAGTAGAACCTGAAAATCTTCACTGTTCTCACATAACTGCTGGAAAAGACGATCTTGAAAAGGGTGCAGATTGATATTGTTAACTACTATTATAAATGTTGAGAATGAATCGTTTAAGCGCCCTCCCACGTTCTTAGCTACTAGGTGCTCTCAGTGAATCACAGTGAATTGCATGAACAAAAGAGAGAAAAGTTTTTGGACAGACAACGAATCCTCTCTATCTTCCAACTACTGCGGTAGCATCAGCTGTTGCACCTGAAACTATGTTTTGCATTGTGATGGATTTGTCAGACAGATAGCTATTGACTACCTAGAACATAGACGGACCCTTTGTATTAGTTTTATATATCCTGACAAGCAGCATCTCTTTCATTAATTCATTGTCAGTGAAGCATCGAACATATGCCACGAGAAGCGTCGTTATCAGATAAAGTAGATAATTCTACTGGTAACGAAAATTGTCTGAACTGTAGTAAGGTAACTAAGGTACTTTCTATGTCCTGAGGCATCACATCTTTTGGTCTAGATCCCGTTGTGTTGCTGAGCAGAATGGCTTAAACTGCTTCTATTGAATTCATATGCAGCAGGTCCGACAGCATTATTGTTACTGAAGGCAAGATAATATTTTCTGCAACATTAGGTGGATTGCAGTTTTTGGCAATCAATGCTCTGATTTCACAAGATGCCGTAAGCCCATTTGCCATTTTGCCCTGTCAGAAACTATTGTTTTTAAATTTGGTATGTTTTCGAATCTATCCCGCAGCTTTCAAGAAAATTCACATACTTGCCGCTTTCGCCCTTATCGATACTTCCCAAATGATTTTCCAGTTTAGGTGGTCCCATACTTTCATTTGAAAGTGTTCTGGCAAATTAAACACGGGTAGCGTGGGGTTTTGAACTGATGCGATGAATCCAAATGACAGATAATCTACGGAGTACTACTGACACTTCTTTGCCAAGGAGCCCATTTCTGGATGTCATTGGGATTTGTTTATATATATATATATATATATATATATATATATATATATATATATATATATATATATATATATATATATATATATATATATATATATATGCCCCCATGCTGAGGCTGATGTTGCATTCTTGATGCTTCTTCACCGCAGTTGGGCTAAACCAACTTACACTTAAACTAGGTCTTTTTAAGCTGCATAAATTTTATTCCACTTTATTTGGTTTGTTCTGCCTATCTGAATAATGTTCTATTAACTGGCCACGTTGCTTACGCTAATTGCGCTTATCTTCGGTAATTTTGTTGTGTTTGTAGCATTTTTAAGTAACTTGTGGACATTTCTTACTTATCGTGGATTCGTTGCTAACCAACTTACTTCATATGGTAATTTAGGGAAGAGTTATGTCACCGTATCTGTATGCATTATTGGATTTACGTTATTTCAGCTTGTCGTTTAAAGTGAATGGCTGTTGCTTGATATCCCCGGTGTGGCTGCGCTTGATGTGCATGTTGACAAGGTGCCTACCTGTCTATTACCCACTACCTCGTTCATACTGGCTCCAGGAGACAGTTGGTCGTTGCTGGAGGGGACGGGGTGCACGGTCCTTGTGGCCGTGCTAGGCTCAAAGAGCGGTTCCATGCACTCAGTGTGGAGCGGACTACGGACCAGCCACCGCCTTGTGTGCGCTTGATTCCCCAAATACAGCGTGCCTGTGTTTGCCTGTGAAGGAGTGTGGGCCGGCTCCATTGATGAAACGTGGCTCCCAACCACATGCCTCCCGGTCTTATTCCTTCGGGTTTACACTGGATATTTAGTGTGTGGTTGGAGCTGTGGGTGGTGCAGCGCAAGCCACCCATGGTCCCTCTGTAGGCGCAGGCGTCCTGTGGCTGGCCACAGTGACAGGCAAATCCGAAACCGGATGCCGCCAACCATATATATATATATATATATATATATATATATATATATATATATATTGCTTTTATGCTTACACATTTATATTATGGGTATTAGGTAACAACATTCGGCAAGGCGAAACATGCAGGTAGTATGAATAATTGTTGGCACTAAATTTCTTTTTAAGAGAGCAAGAACGAACAGCATTTATGCGGGATAACCTGTATTCAGATTATTTCGTGTCTTCTCATTCAGCCGCGCACAGACAAATCGTGGAAAGAGTAAAGGAATGCAATTGAAAAAGGCGGTCAATAGGAAAATCAATAAATCGCTGAGAAAATCAAGGTCGATCCATAGTTCGAACTTGTTTTGTTAGAGCACACCGAATATGCTCTGAAGAGTCAATCGAGGCTGAATTACGATACATCGAATCTAACCTACGCAATAATGGCTATCCTAATAAATTCATCGCCAGGTATGGGAATGAGGTTGCTAAGAAAGAAACACGAATGGATGTCCCAAAGAAAAAGATCTTCATCATGCTACCATACAAAGAGGAACAGAACAACAGAAGACTGTGCTACCGATTACGCCAAGCCATAAAAAGGTGCTACTCCGCAGCTGAGCTCGTGTTGTTACATCAAACCAAGAAGCTGTTCCATGAATCCAACTTGGATAGGCCTCACTCTCAGGTTACCGCCTCATGTGTTTACCAATTCACCTGTACTTGCGGTAGCATGTACATTGGCCGAACCGAGAGAAGGCTATCAACTAGGATCATGAAACATGTTCCACGGAACCTGGCAAATAGTGGACCTAAACTCCCTGCCAGCTCCATTGCTCAGCATCTGCTCGATTGTACCTTGTGC